GACATAACCCAACTCCGCATTCACAGCTCAGTCTGCGGCTGCTCATTAACCCTTGATGAGTTCACATCAGAGCGCCACACACTCCGCGGTTGTCATACATCACAAATGATCAATGTTTTTTTTTTATCACAGGAGACTTATTTTAGGTCTCAAATGCTGAAATACACATTAGAAGTAGCAGAACAATCATTTACAGTTGATGAATTACACCACGGCTGTCTGTGAAAAGGGTAGTAATGATATAAGCATGATCTTGCAGTGTGAACGTAGCCATAGTTCCTGGCTGTGTTCTGTTCCCAGTAATCCCCCCTACGCCCTATTAAGTACCTGTACTGTATATGACATGGGCCTGCGGGCTAGAACACTTCTGCAGTGGTTTACATGTGTCAAATTGTAAAAGTAGACTTTTCACAAAATAAACAATAAACTATTGTCTTGCTCTGCACAAGACTTTTGGCCAGCGGAGAAATGAAAATGGTCGTGCCCAACTGAGTCTGGTACTCTCAAGGTTTTTCTTCTTCACTCCCATCAGGTGAAGTTTTTTTCCCTCTCCGCTGTCGCCACTGCCTCGCATGGTTCAGGATTGGTAGAGCTACGCATCGATGAATTTGCTCTTCAGTGTATGAACTCTCAGTAATGATTAAATCACACTGAACTGAGCTAAACTGAACTGAACTTAAACACTAAAACCTGAACTACACTGTTCCAGTTACTATGACCATTTATGTGGAGCTGCTTAGACACAATCTACATTGTAAAAGCGCTGTACAAATAAAGCTGAATTGAATTGAACTATATCCTACTTAATAATAATAATTAGAATAATAAACATCATCATTATTATTATTAAAGTAGGATTTTTTTACTTCCTAATTTAACAGGTGTATATGTATATATATATATATATATATATATATATATATATATATATATATATATATATATATATATATATATTAATTTCACTCATAATTCTTGTAATCATCAAGTAATTTACTTTAATTCCATATTTTCTCAGTTGTTATGTAAATATATTGTATTTCAGAGTTAATGATATCATGGTTGTGTTTGTTTTCAATGTATTGTGGAAATGGTGCGTGGCCCCTTTAAGTGTTATTTTCCGGTATTGCCTGCTTTCACTCAGTTTGCAGCAAACGCGATCGAGGAGAGGTGAGTTGTACTGAAGCTCCGGTTAAAGCTTATTATATAGGTGTTATCACAATAATACATGTAATTTCATTCTACAATGCATTTCCCTGTTATTTAAACATGTATGAGAGGTTGTGTACGTTATATGAAGCATGTATTTTGAGTGGCGTTCATAAGCATGAGTCTGCAAGCTTTATGGTGAAAACGATCTCTCGCTGAGAGTTTGGTGAAGTCTTCAAGAAGGCCACAGACTCCGCTTGATGTCATTATTTTGATGTTTATTTTCATGCAGAATAAAATGCGGTTTACACCCAAATGCCCGGTTCCTTTCGCCTAAACACAACGCGGAGCAAAGTGAGGCGCAGTCACACTAATAAATAATAAATGTCATTTCTTAATAAAGTGCCTCATTATTTATTCATGTGTATGATTAACATATGATATTAGAATAGGTGTTTGCTTTTGTAAGTGATTGTATGTTTTAGAGTAGAATATTTAATGTTGTCAGTAATATCAGGAAAGGAAACACAGCCTCTATATGTGCTGTTCACATGTATTTCTGTCAATACAGAAAGCAGGTGCATGCTTATACTAAACTAATATTGGATGTGTTTTTCAAATGTGCAAATGACAATGCGCATCTGTTCACGCAGGTCAGCCTGCATAAGCGGCCGCGCGGTCACGAGACGGACCGAGACAAATCAAATGCTGAATTAAAACTTAAAATCTTGAATCAATATTGGAGTTACTTTAGCACGCTGGAGGAAGGACGACACCATGGCTGAAGAGTTTCTGTTAGACAGGTCATGTTCTGCTTTAAAACTTAGTCAGGCAGAGCTGATGTTAGATTGTGTTGTGTTATGAATGACTCATATGCACAGACGTGTTGTTCAGCCACTGAAATCTCCCGCTGAAAGATTGATGTGATTATTCTCAGTTTCATAAGGTCCTTCTACAGCATTGATAATGTATATTTATATTTAGTCTAACAACAGAACACCAGTAAATAGCGCTATTCTGCCTAGCCTGCTTTACTGAGCTGAATTTGCTATTATATTCACATTGGGTCATTTCTGAACACAGACAGCCTTCCTTTACTGTTCACCGCTACTCTGAATATTCACTCTGAAATAGCATGCAAGTGTGGCGTAGTAATAAATATAATAAATGTAATACCTGCACGGTGAATGACATGAACTAGTGGGTTGTCTGTCAGCTGTTGTGACGCGGTGCGCACGCTTGCGATTTCAGGGGCTGTGGCTTTGAATCACAGTCCCTCCCCGCCGTCCAAAAGATAATATGCTAAGCGGTTAGCATTTTGGCAGATCACCTACTGCACCTTTAATTGTAGAGAGAAAAGGTTAGCCAATTTTGTTTTGTTGGTTATTTTTTGGGTGATTTTTTTCTGCTGAGCACTGACTAAAGACACTGCACCATAGTGCTATTGCGACTTACGCCCATTTTTTTTTTTTTTTGAAGAGGTTTGGGACCTGAGAGAAAAACCGTCTCTGTGACAGTTGTGACAGTTGACCTGTGTGAATCAATTATATCTTATGTTCAAGCTGTAATTTGCGCATGTTAAACTGAACTTAAAGCAGATTTTGATGTTATTGACAGTTATAAAGTATAATTCAGAAATGAAACCAGATTTTTTGGTTAAGTCTTGTTTAACAAAGGTTAGTGAGGTCATTTTGCAGCACATCACAGAGACAAAGTGCCCTATCATACACCCGGCGCAATGCGCAGCGCAAATGTTGTTTGCTAGTTTCAGCTTTTGCACCACGTTGTTTAAATAGCAAATGCATTTGCGTTCATATGTGCGCCCACCAGAGATGTATAGTAACGAAGTAGAACTACTTCACTACTGTACTTAAGTACTAAAAGGCAGTATCTGTACTTTACTGGAGTATTATTTTTTTCTCCTACTTCCACTTTTACTTAAGTACATATTTTACATGAGTTTAATACTTTTACTCCGATAGATTTTTTATGTGCTGCATCGTTACTCGTTACTAGGGGTGTCAAAATGATTGATATCAGTTCAGTAATAGGTCATACCCGGTTATTACGTGATGACGTCATTTATCTCCTATGCGCGATGTCGCAATACTATGGCGGAGGACGGAGGCGCGAGAACGAGGCGGCACAGCCTATCAGCCGCTAGTTTACTGTTAGGGAGAAGTGTTGTAAAACTTCACCTCTGGCTATCTCTCGCTCTCTCACTTTGGACATTTGACCCGCTGGCCAGTTTGTAAGGTAACTTTTCCTCTCTTCTTAGCTGTTAAAGCTGTGGATCCAGACATGAGCGTACCTCATGTGCAATTAAGTTTTCTCCACTGTGTCTATTATCTGTGATAATCGCGTATTCTTCCCGCCATGGGTGAACAGCGCTTATATTTCTAAAGCCCTTTCTGTTGAGGACAATAACCAATCATAGCCGTGTAAGACCCGCCTGTCAGCGCTCAAAAAGCAGGCGGGATAATATTGACATGAGTTTATTAGCTGTAAATGCTCATGCTGTTTTCTGTGCATGAGTTTTGTTTGATACATCCAGAAAGAGTGTTTTCTTTGAGCAGGTCAAATTAAGGGCACAGTTCGTATATCTGACTGCTGTATTAAAGGACAAATTTTTATTACAAAAACCCCTTTAACTGTCACACCAAGACGAAAGCAATAGAATTTTTTTTTATTGCATTTCTTAACTCCTAATGTCGCTAGTTAACACAATCAGTGCATTTTTATTCAACACATCACATTGTTTCTAAGATATTAGCCTCTACCAAATGGTTGAGATGTTGGTTTATGGTAAAAGTACCAGAATTAATAAATATACTACAGAAAATATGAATAGTAAGACCAATTTATTTAAAAACATAATAAAAATAAATAAAAATTATTACTAAATCATAGCCATAAGCCATAAAATATTTCAGATTTTCATTTAACACAGTAATATACACATTTTCCTGTTTTTTTTACAATAAAATCAAAATCAAGTGAATTTGTGAAGCAGGATTTAGTTTGCTTGTTTAGTTTAGTTTCACGAGTGCTTCCAGAAGACAGAACTCCTGTTTATTGTGGTATTAACCAATCAAACTTTAAAACTCCCAAAGTGTGAGTGTGTGTTTGTGTGTGTGTGTGTAGAGAGTGAATAATGTGTGAGTAAGAGAAAACAACAGTGTGATTGTACCTGTGTGTGTGTGTGTGTGTAAGAGAGAGTGTAAAAACAATTGCAACCTATGTAATGTCCCCACAATTCACAAAAATGTGTGTGAGAGAAAGAGATAGAGAGAGAACTGTGTGTGTGAGTGTATTAATGTGTGAGAGTGGGGAGAAAGTTTACATTTAGGTGTTTGCAGGGTAGTGTGTGTGTGTGTGTGTGTGTGTGTGTGAGAGAGAGAGAGAGAGAGTATGTATGTGAGTGAACATGCTGATTTATCTCATCAGTGAAGGCATTTTCTGGTTAAAGGGCCTGACGATGTGAGCTCTTGTACCATAGAAACTATTTACAGAGAAAAACAGTATCATAAGCCATGTTTCTTTTCGTTCTGCTTCATCAAGTACCCCAAAAAAGATATTTAAAATAAACAAAACAATTAGTGTATTTTGACTGCTTTCTTTAATAACTACACCACACAATACTTGTACTTTTACTTTCAGTACTTGAGTAGTAAATTTTGAAATAAACTACTTGCAATACTTAAGTACAAAAAATGTTGAATACTTTTGTACTTCCACTTAAGTATGGTGCTTAAAGAGCACTTCTACTTCTACTCAAGTCACTTTTTGATAAAGCACTTGTACTTTTACTTAAGTATGGGTCTCTAGTACTTTATACATCTCTGGCGCCCACAGGCGTTCTGGACTAAACAAAGAGGCGTGTTCAGGTGCATTGCTGGTGCGTTGCTATTTTAAAACAATTACATTAGACCACGCCATAGATCGACTGAAAGTTGATGTAAAGTCCAGCGCAGGTTATACTGTATCTGATTGTTTAGAAAACGCGTTAGTGATAGGCAGGTCCAATGCACAAAGACATGTTGCTTATTTCACACACATGATGTGCAGCACGAGTTATGTTTAAATATGAAAATAAAAAATGAATATGTAATAATAAAAGATTATTAGCCTATTGTGTACATGAATATAAAATGGGCAAAATATCTCTTATTGATCTCCTCAGTTTGTCAGTGTTCCTGTTTGATCAATAACGTATTTCATCAGTAATGTAGTTATGCATTTATTTTGTTTAGCCAAATGGAGTACCTTATGGGCCAGAGAATTGGGAGACGGAGGAGGCCGAGGGTCCACCGACCAAGGTCCACATATTTGTTGCTGTCCGAGGTGGAGTGTCACCAGAGGCTACGGTTATCTCACCAGGCAGTAACCAAACTTTGACATCTTCTGGCAGATGACTTAGAAACGAATGCATCCTGCCCATAAGCACTCCCCGTTGCTGTAAAAGTAACTGCTGCACTACATTTGTTTGAGAATGGGTCTTTTCAACATCCCCTCAGTTCAATTGGCCTGCCGTAAGTTCGGCTATACATGCTGTGACATCAAGCCTAGTCCGACATGCGCACAAATGCATTACATTCCCTGTGACGCCTGCAAGCCAAAATACGCTTAAACAGGAGTTCTGGGCTAAATTTGGGTTTCCAGGTGGATGTCTCTTGGACGTAAATGAGGATAGATTACAGGATTTTAGATGGCGTGAAGCTGAACTGCATGTGGCGATGCTAATTAGCAGCAGCACAGGCCAGGAGAGATCAGCTGGCAGAAGAGCCGCCTCACCTGTAGACTTATAAGCTCAATTGTTTTACTTTTAAACTGTAGAAATTTGGCATTTGACCTTTAACCTCTGGATATGATGGCAACCATTTTATTGAAATATCTTTATTAAAACACACACAGCGCTGTGCTAGGTGCTGAAACGCTTTTGCTCTGGAAATGTACAAATGTTAGGAGCTTTTTCCTGCTGTACAAGCAAAGCATTTTAGTGCATTTTTTTGCAAATTAGTAGACCTAAAGAATAAAAAACCTCAGTTTATTATTCATTTATTTTTATTTAGATTGCAGTGATGCCACGAACATTTGTATGTGTGTGTGTGTGGTTCTTTTTTACATTATAAACCTAAATGTTTGACCTTCCTCCTCGCGTTCGCAGTCGCGAAGCTCCACGGTGTGGCAGGCAACGCAAGGGTCCAGGAACAGCAGAACTGTAGAGTGGCTGATCTGGTAGAGAGAACAGGTCCGGAGGATGAAGGAGGTGTTGTAAAGGGTATTATACGCTGAACAGCTTCAGCTAGACTCCCCACACTATCGGCGAAGCGTCCGAGCGGCAGCAGCAACATCTCCAAGTTCTGGTGGTGCCTACCCTGTTGCCGTTCCAGCATATTGAAGCCGGCCTGCTGGAGGGCCAGGAATGGGTGGTCCTCCTGGTCGACGTTTCTGCGTCCAGCTCTGGGTCTTGCCTCTCCTCTCAACCATGGTGGTTCCATGGTCTCTTCTCCCTGCAGAACTACCTCTTGCTCCTGCCTACTGGGCCCGGCCGCCGAATCTTCAACCTGCGGAGCTGCATGAAATGTATTATTGTTGCTGAATAAATAAAAAATGTAAACAATTTATTCATAAGAACATTGAACAAATTGTTTTTACTTTTAATTATTTTATTTAACAATGCATTACCTTGGACGACCACCTCTAAATCACCAAACCCCTCAATGCTCAGCACTGAGAGTAGAGGCAGCGATGTCCTCCGCTGGCGGAAGGTCTAAAGTGGCTGTAGGGGGTCCTCCCTGCCGCTAATAAAAAACAGCAGGTGACCAAGGGAGCTTTGTGTTTCCCCATCTCCTGACATCATTGTACCTTTTTCAGCTTTTTCTTGTGATATCAGAAGACGAGGACACAGTCGCCGCTGTCTTCCTCCCATGCCTTTTTCACCTCAGGGAGCTTTGGTGGATTCTGACTTGTTCCATAGATCAGGGATTCCCAAACTTTTCTGCCCACGACCCTCAAAATAACAATGTCAGTGATTCGCGACCCCCAATATCTTCTGAGGTGGTTATAAATCCAGAAATCTTGCATGCAATGGCGCGCACACCAATAAACCACTAATAAACAATTCTTCGTTGAATTTTTTGTAATGTCTGTCAGTGCTGTAAATAGGCTAGAAAGTTTAACCTGGTGTTATAAAATCAATCTGCTGCATCTGACGCTATTGCTGTGTCTTTAATGTAATGTAATTACCCCTAGGGGTGCAATCCAATAGAAATAGTAACTAAAAGCTACTAAAGTAACTATATACAGTAGTACATAGTAACAATAAACAACTATATTTTTCTTTTTTAGTAGGTTATGAATAAAATATGGTAATTCTTATGGTTTATGAAAAATAAATAGATTTTTGGAAATCACCAGGCGACCCCCCCCTTCATTGTCCCGCGACCCCTCGGGGGGTCCCGACCCCCACTTTGAGAACCACTGCCATAGATGATCTGCTCGTGCGCTTTAACCTTGCCACTGAAGCGTTCAGGCTTCCTGCAACCCGCCATGTAAAAAATGAATCTGTCATGCGCACATTTCGCTCATAAAGGGAATGGATAATGAGACTGATTGGTTTAATGAAAGTTACGGCCCAAACACACCTCTAACTCATTAAGAGAATAAGCACAACCCTTTCAGACCATGCACCACGGCGCAGAGCGTGTTATCCTGTCCTTAAAATAGCAAAAGTGGATTCAGACTCGCCCTTAATGCGTTTGTGCATTGGGCTTTACGCTTAGATCATTAAAATAGGGCCCAAAATGTGCCAATGGCGCACTCTTATGAACGTGTATAGGCATGTTATAGTTGGGTCCATTACAAGCTGTGAACTGCTGATATATTTTCAAGATACCTGAGCTTTTCAGACTTTGCATTACTAATTACTTCTCAAACTGCTGAAACGGTTTATTGTTATTGGCTAGTGATGGGAAGTTCGGATCATTTCACTGACTCGGATCTTTGAGTCTTTTTCATTAAGATGAACGAATCTTTTTTCGAGTCATTTCGTTCATTTGGTTCATTTTGCCAAAATATTATTAAAATGTTACGAATTGCTTCCAAACACATCTACAACTAGCCCAAAAGGTTGATCACACAACAAATAAGTGATAAATACAATACTATAAGAAGGAGAAAATAATAACTCAATGTTGACCTGCTCTTTTGTCTATGAAGGTATTGTTGTCTCTTTGCTCAGCTCACCTCTTCATGTCTTCAAATGTCAGGGGTTCATTCACGTTACACTGACAGTCACATATAATCTTAATCAATGCACAGTCTGAGCCGATAGGAGCCATGATCATTCGTTCATCACGTGACAGAATGACTCAAACCCGAGGACTCGAGAGATGAACAGATCAATTCTTTTTCCGGCTCTAAACGCGTATGATTGGCTTCTGCCAATGTGATGAAGACTTGAAATGAACGAGACCACCTGCACAAATGTGCGCACGCGCGGATGAACGAATCACTCGCTGAGAGGACTCATAGTTCCAGAGTCATATTGAAGATTCGTTTAAAATGAACGACCCATCACTATTATTGGCTATCATCATCAAACCTTTTACACAATGTTAGATTACAGTGTTTAGTGAGTCATTCTATGAAGCGGGTGCCATTTCCACATTGCAAATTTTAAAAATTCTCATTATGAAAAACTTAAAATAAAAAAACTACAACTTGAAAGATATTTTTACCCTCCAAAACAGCTATTTTCCCACCTCAGACACAAAATCCTGATTAATTATATTGCTTTTCTTTAGGCAAGAGAGTCTCTCTTGTACCACCCCATCACCAACAACATGTATGATATTACAGTAGTAAAATAACAAACTGCTTTTCAAACTCAAATGTTTTCCAGATAATAAAATGTCCTCTTTTATGCAGACGTCAATAGAAAATCTGTAGTTTAATCAATTTTGGTATTATTAGATTTTTAACTTTGAAAAATAAATGTGACATCTCGATTGCCTCACTGCTTTCACTGAACAAACACATTCACCTTAATGCAGCTAGAGAACATCAGCAGTGTCATGCCCACTGTTGTATTCACACAAGTTGTATGAGAATAAGCTACAGGCTACAGATTTATACTAATTCATTACTGCTCTTTTTCAGCACGACTGACTGAAGTTTTAATATCATTCGACATCATAAAGCAGCAACTGGGCCTGATTCTCACAAATCAGCAAAGACACTACAGCACTCAGCTGTAAACGTGATGTTCACGGTGTAAACGCATTCGACCTTCCTTTGTCCAATTTATTTGATTTAGAAAAGCTTGAAAATCAACTAAAGGAGCAGCCCAGACAAACGAGGAAACTGGGAGGTTCAAGCTCTTGCGCATTTCAAAGTATTTTAAGTTTATTTAATTTATTTTGCTGCGTAGGTCGCCTACTTTGGAATCATTGGTGTTTTCCACTAAGCAGTGTGGCGTATCCCGGGAAAGCTTTTGGCTTACTCCTTGACTAAACTAATTAACTGCAGCGGGGCAAACCCAAAAGTGGCCTATCGTGCACTCCCCCTTAGGACTGTCGTAGTCAGTAAGTTAGTTTTAAATATACATTTCAATACAACTAGGGGCCGTTCCATCTGTGTATTTCTTTGAATCATTAACCAGAGAATATAAAATCAATATATAATATAGTTTTTAGTCTCATTTAGGTTGTACTGTTGTGAGGGCAAGCATGTTACTTTTGTTTCTTTAACATTTGTACTTGTTCAAAACAAACTGTCTGAATATTGTGTAATCACAGATGCAGTGAGGACAAATGTCCATACCAACAGCACCACTGATAAAGAGCTGGAAAAATACATTACAAGGTGGCTACAACTTGCTCCTGGTAGGGACGGAGAAAGGAAGCCTCCAACACGGTGACTGAAGCTCTGCACAAGACTTTTGGCCAGCGGAGAAATTAAAATGGTCGTGCCCAACTGAGTCTGGTTCCCTCAAGGTTTTTCTTCTTCACTCCCATCAGGTGAAGTTTTTTTTCCCTCTCCGCTGTCGCCACTGGCTCACATGGTTCAGGATTGGTAAAGCTGCTCATCGATGAATTTGCTCTTCAGTGTTTGAACTCTTAGTAATGATTAAATCACACTGAACTGAGCTAAACTGAACTGAACTTAAACACTAAAAACTGAACTACACTGTTCCAGTTACTATGACCATTTATGTGAAGCTGCTTTGACACAATCTACATTGTAAAAGTGCTGTACAAACAAAGCTGAATTGAATTGAATTGAAGGAGAGAAACACATTTTAAGTGTATTAAGATGTTCCCTGATACTTGGGCAATTTGATTCTTTCATTTGCAACATATATTAGGGCTGTCAAAATTAGCGTGTTAACGCATGTGATTAAAATAAATTAAATATTTAATGCGTTAAAAAAAATTAAGCAGTTGCAGTTTTTTTTTTTTTGTCCTGTTGTGGCTGACGTGCAGTCTAGGGACGGTGCTTGTATGGAGGTGACCTAGGCGGGCACCTTGGGCAGCAGAATAGTGAGCAAACCACCCGTCTTCACTTTCGGTACACTCTTAATCAGTATTATCTTAATCATATAAGCGGAGTATTGGTGTCCATGTAAACGTACTCAGTAAAAATGGCAGATGAAGTCGCAAGCTGTCACAGACGGCCCTATTCTCTAATCTGCGTCCATGAGTGCTCACATTTCATAAGTTTCACAATGCAGTGTCAGAATCCTTGCTTGTAAAATACAGCCATACTTTAGAGCGTGTAGTTTAAGCAAATTTGATGAACGTCATCATGCGTGTTGATGAAACTGAAGGGATCCCTCCCTCGCTCACCGGGCCCGCTGTATTACGCGCGTGTCCACTTAGAATCCAACATGGAAATCATTTTTGTTTGTTATTGACTGATCGTTTTGAAATCCAAATGCCTGTACTTTTATTTCTGTAATAAATAAATATTTCTGTAATAAATAAAACGTTGTGATTAATCATGATTAATTACAAAAAAGTGATTACGTTAATTTTTTTAATCATTTGGCAGTCCTTTATATATATATATATATATATATATATATATATATATATATATATATATGTGTGTGTGTATATATATGTGTGTGTGTATATATATATATATATATATATTAGCACTGTCAAAATTAGTGTGTTAATGCATGCGATTAATTTTAAATAATTAACGCGTTAAAAAAATTAACGCAATTAACGCGTTAATTCAGGTTTTTTTTACTTCTTGTTGTGGTGGACATGGTTGTGGTTTCATGCAATTTCGGGTGTTTCATTTTTAACTTTCGACTTCTGTTGTAAGTTGATACCGCATGGCGAACAGAAAGAAAATCCTCCGCATTTCGTGACTCGGTGTTCCTTTAAGGTAAGGTTCCTATTAAGGCTACACGGTAGAATTTTAATAAGAGTATTATCTTAATCATATTTAAATCGGAGTATTGGTGTCTTATGTGAATGTACTCAGAACGTCTGGTGAAGTCGCGAGCTGTCAAAGACAGGGCATTACTCTGCCTTTCAGCATGAGCCTCCAAGTTTAGCATGTTTCCTCATTAAACGCAATGAAAGCGTATGCGTCGCGTTGTTGTGTCAGAATCCTTGTGAAATACAGTAATACTTTAGGACGCTTAGTTTAGGACGCTTAGCAAATTTGATGAACGTGATCATGCGTGTTGAATCTGAGGGGAGGCGCTCCAGTATGGAAGGCCGTTGGGGCCAAAACGTCTGCAGCGCGTTGTGTGTGTCTGTGTGTGTGTCTGTGTCAGGCCCGTTGAGGGGTGTCAGGGGTGGAGTGAGCGACGTATCTGAGTAGGGGGGAGAGGGGTGTGCAATGTATTTAACGACCGGTTTGCAAGAAATTATCATTCATTTGCGGGCATCCGGGAGTCTCTGTGCACTTGCAGGATACTCCTAGTCTTAGCAACTGGATGAATGTAAAGGAGGATTAAGCAAAATTGTTTCTACTCTATAATTAATGTTCTCAACTCACAGCAATAAAACTGTACAACGAGTGCAACAGTTTATATTCTATAGTTTATTATTATAATTTTTAATTTTCCATATCTGCAATTCCTGTATTTTGGCATTTTTTTGCAGTCCACTTAGAATCCAACATGGAAATCAATGTTTTCTTTATTGGCATTGATTGTTTTGAAATGTAAATGTCATTAACATGCCTGTGTTTTAATTTCTGTACAAATTTGGCTGTCAAGCCAGGGGTCCGTTCTTCGTACGTCGCTAATTACATCCGAGATCAAAATACACATCCAAGATGATATAATCCTGCTAATCATTATCTGGCTAATTAGGTTCTTCGAACACACCGGTTGTTTCTGATTAGTATGGCTGGATTGAATGATCTGAGATTGTTGCGCGTTCATGCGCGGGTTTAAAAGGCACTATGTATCGATGGTAGAAACAATGATTAACAACATCGTTAAGGAATGGCAAAAGAGCGTGCGACTTTTTTCACACAAGCGGAGCAAGAGCTCCTCATTGAGGGTTATGGTGAATTTCAGCATTTAATAAAAACCTCTGGGAATACATCAAAAGCGGCGAAAACCAGAAGAGAGGGCTGGGAAAAAGTTGCAGAAAAATTGAATGCGTAAGTAATGTATGTGCTAGAGGTTAATACTCTTACAATAATTTGTGATAATGACATTTAGACTGTTTTATTTAATTAGAGCCACCACGGGACCCATAAGAACATGGGAGCAAGTAAAGGTAAAATACAAGAACATTCTACAAAATGGTAAATACATTTTAAAATATAAAGTACGTTTCTTTATTGTGTGTGTGATCATTTGCACATAGAAATAAAGTGAATAATGAGGTGTTTTTTTTTTTTTTTTCCCATCAGCTACTAGGAAAAGGTGTGAACAAAAAAAAACGGGTGGTGGTCCTGCACCTCCACCTCATACCCCGGCAGAAGAGCTTGCCCTTGGTTTTAATGCAAACAGGCCAATTGTTCAGGGCATACCAGGGGGCAGCTCTTCCCTAGAGCCACAGCCAGGGACCAGTAAGGGCACCACAGTCATCACTGGTAAATAGGATTTGAATTATGTTTCTACATTGCAGTTTTTAATCTAAATGTCATGTATACAAATTTTAAAATGGTATATTAAATAGTTTTGTATTGCCGTAAAGAAAGATGGCTAAACTTGTTTGTATAGTTGTTAGATTTATGTTCTCGTGTAGCTCATTATGCTGTATTTCTTTATTTTATCTGTGAAGTTTCTAATGATACACCTACACTTGTATCAATTCCATTTGAAGTTGTGGCAGAAGTGGTAAGTGGACTGATGCTAGGCTACATTTATTTTAACAATCTTTCAATCAGTAGTTAAGACTCATGCCAACCACTTCATGCATATATTTATATATTTTTCCCTTAATGCACAGAACAGTGAGGAGACTCTTTCAGATGAGTGTTTTGAGGAGTTGACAGTAAGTGCATAATCAAACAATGTCTCCAATCATAGTGTGTATGTGTAATTACTTTATTTTTTTTCTCTGCAGGAGTCCATGCCTTCTAAGAGGCCTTTTGACCGGCACAGTGATAAAGAGGTAGATTGTACAGCAGTTTTGATTTAAAAAAAAAATAATTAATAAAAAATAATAATTTAACTGTATGTTTTTAATTTTAACTCTCAAAATGGCACAGGGTGACATTCGTTCTCTATATAAGAGGAGCCTCCAACATAAAGTGGAGTATTTAGAGCTTAAAAAACAAAAACTACAAGGAGAAATCGAGCTGCAGCAACTAATGAAAACAAAAATGGAGCTAGAAATACAATTGTTGCAAAAAGAACTTCAGAGTAAGTACTAAAACAACATTTTCACACTGGGCCACTACTGTTGACCTTGCATAATTTTTCCTCTCTTTGCAGGCAAAAGATGACGTGTGTGTGTGTGTGTGTTATAAAAAAATTTAATAAATGGTACTAAACATTATCGGGTGCGTTTTATTTTTTGTCTTCGTAATTTTAATACAATTTCATCAAAAATGATGTGCCACAATCCTGTCGTGTGCAGCTCTGCCACTGGGTTGGTCCAAATGCACTGGCTGAAGGTCATTATTATGCTGCACTGGCACCACATGGATTCTCTCCCTTCTAATGGTAGCAATATTGTGCAAGACTGTACATGCAACAATAATATCACATGCCCGGTCAGGTGCAACTCGCAGATGTTTCAGACATTGAAATCTTCCCTTTAGGTGGCCAAAGGTCATTTCAATGCGTGCTCTTGTCCTGACTAGAGCTGCATTATAGCGAGTTTCTGGCCCAGGGTTAGGGTCAGGGAATGGGGTCATAAAATACTGCCTACAAGCATAACCCCTGTCACCAAGCAGGATTCCATCGTAATCACCTGTAGAAGGCATTTATGTTAGGGTCTTAATTTGGATAAAAATAAACTTTGTTCTTTTTGCCTTACCGCGTTCAAATGATGTGTATAAATGTGACTCTCTGAAAATTCTAGAGTCATGCACAGATCCTGGCCATTTTGCTTCCACATTTGTGATATGGTACATAGAGTCACACACCATCTAGGACACACACACATTGTTATATATATATGTGTATACACACACACACACACACACACACATATATATATATATATATATATATATATATATATGTATGTATACACATATATACACACACACATATATATATATATGTGTATACACATATACACACACACACATATATATATATATATATATATGTATATGTATATATATGTGTGTGTGTATATATGTATGAATGAAATTACTTACCTGCACATTTATACTGTGAACCCCTTTTCGGTTCACAAAATCTCCTTCATTAGGGCCAGGGGGGGCCTTGATTTGAATGTGTGTGCAGTCTATGGCACCAATCACATTAGGGAAGCCTGGGGCATAATCAAATTTATTTAGGCGTGCACATATTAACACCATCTTCATTAGTAATTTCTAAATATAAGGTACCTGCAATGGCGAAGAAGCTTTGTTTCACCACTTGTGGTCTTAAGTGGCTAGGAAATACAACAACACTTCCTAAAAACTGCTTCAGTGCCAGATAAACTTTGCGAATAGCACGACAGACAGCACTTTTGGACAAATTCTCTGCATCCCCGATGGTATAAAGAAAAGTGCCACTCGCAAAGTATCTTAACCCGATACACACGGTTTGTGCTGATGTTAAAGCCCGACTCCGACGGGTCAAACTTTTAATATGAGGATCCAACAAATTTACAATGTACATGATACCCTCACGTGAAAAACGATATCGCTCAAAAAGTATATGATCCTGCTGCGCTAAAGGATCATTTCTCTGTTTCAAGACGCGGTTAATTCTAAAAGCTCGTCGTATTATTAGCGCACCTTCCGCAACAGGTTGCTCTCTTAAGAACGGACAAGACATGACTGCAAATGCAACAGATTTCCTGAATCAGCTGCGCTTAAAAAGCCGCGATCTAATCCTGTTTACATGAAATAAGCCTGCTTCCGACCAGGTTTGAGTTGCCAGACCTGTTGCTATGACAACAACTCTCGGAAAACTTTTGAAGAACGAAATGATCCTGGATCGTGTCAAATCGTCAATATCCAAATCCAGCTAATTGAGTAATCCACGTACGAAGAACGGACCCCAGGATCTTGATGGTTTATTGTGGGTTTGTTGTTTACATGAAGAAATCTGTGTTACAAGTTAAACAAAAATTCTATTGAACAATAATATTTTGAATTTAAATAGTTTTTATCTTGGGTTTACATTAATTTTACATTTAAATAGGCAAAATTACAAGTTTCAGTATTTTAAATGTGATTAATCACAATAAATTTTTTTAAAAAGGTGCGATTAATTAGTTTTTTTTTTTAATCGATTGACAGCACTTATATATATATATATATATATAAATATATATATATATATAATGTATTTAAAATTCAGTTTGTCTTTATACTTGTGCAATTTTATATTTATATTTTTTGTTTATTATTATTTAAAGTTTATTGAAGATGTTTCATGATGTTTCTTCAGAATTCAGCTGTTCTTTTTACAATTTTGACTTGTATTTTTCATGTCTACATATATAATATAGTAATATAGATATTTGTAAGAGGTTTCTTAAGGATATCTTAAGTTGGTTTCTATATTCAGGCCTATATAAAATCAGCTGTTTTTAAGATGTGTCTTGTACTTTTTTTTTTCAAGTCTATTGGAAAAATGAGAATGTGTGTGTGTGTAACACTTCTCTTCCTGGTGACAAGTCACTCAGGTGGACACAGGGAACTGCGTTCTGTGTTGTTTATTCTGCAACAGAAATATATCCTCTGTCAACAGTATTCATTCAAACATGCATCACCTCTCTGCATTCAGCAACCATCTCTGCTGCTGGAGGCGGGGCTTTGCAGGTGAACAACCAATTACACACTGTTGCCACAGGAGGTCTCCCAACAACCATAAAATAAACAATCAGACGTTAATGTGAAGGACAGTTAAACATTATTTTCACCCTGTTACATGTGCCATTTCAGATTCTCTGTAAATCTTCCTGTTTACAATGTGGGTGTATTGTGCCATTTTATTATTTTTACATTGAAATTCTTAATTCCTGTTCACTACAAATCAATATTCAATTTTAGTATTATTTGTTTAACACTTGTGAAATTATTAACCGTTTATCATTATTTATTTTGTCCTTTGTTTGATTATTTGCGTTATAGGATACATGTGCTGTTTGGGTTTTATTCAAATGTTATATGCAGTGCCTACACTCTGTGTTTACAGTAAAGCCTGCATTTGCTGTTATATCAACACAAATGGTTGTAATAATATATATATATATATATATATATATATATATATATATATATATATATATATATATATACACATACATACATATATATTAATATATATATATTCCAAACTTTGCATTGGTACTGAATAATCTAATGTATATGCACAAATATTGCAAAGCATCCTGTAGAAAATATCAGTTTAAAAGAGAAATCTGTGAGGGGGGTTTTTAGCTCTCTCTCTCTCTATATATATATATATACACACACACACACACACACACACGTTTATTTTTTCTTTTTGGCTTAGTGCCTTTATTAATTTGAGGTTACCACAGCGCAATGAACGGCCAACTTCTACAGCATATGCTTTATGTAGCGGACGCCTTCACTGGGAAACATCCATACACACTCATTCACATTCCTACTACGGCCAATTTAGCTTATTCAATTCACCTATATGTATGCCGCATGTCTTTGGATTTGGGGGAAACCGGAGCACCTGGAGGAACCCACGCGAGCACGGGGGTAAGAAAGACACTGACTAATATAAAGAAGAAGACTACATTTCTTAAATAATGACTTTAAAGCTATAAAATGAGAGGAATAATCAGGAGATGATCTGGGCTGTGCAGCAGCGTCACTTTCCTGTAAAGATATTTCCCCACGGGCTGCGGGAAACAAGTGGCAAAGGGAAAGCAATGATTTGCAGCAGATTCGGGAACAAATTAAAAATCTCACCGCTTGTGCGTGCACGGCTCTTTGTTTATTTTAAACCTATGTGCTTACATTTACAACATTTTGTATGTTACAGTGAGCCTGCAATGCATTAAAACTTTTCCTTGCAAGCATCAATTGGCAGTAAAAGCAAATCCTCTCTCTCTCACGCACATGCGCGCGGTCAAGCACAATTACTCTGTTTTATAACAAATATTTCATTTCATCTTAACAGGCATAAATAATAGCCTATATTTAAAAATATATTGCTACTGTAGCCTATTGAACAATCTGCAGTTTCGCTGCTCACTCGCTGTGATCAGCTGTATCATTTCAGAGCTCTTTCAGTTCTCGAAGTTGCCATGGTAGCGCACAACATAATCGATGTATCTATGCTCGACTTTTAAAGTTTCACAACAGAAACGTGCACAAGCAGTTATCTAGATTATCTAAACTGAACTCAGACTGGTCAGATCAAATTATCTTCAACTTGCTGTTATGGAACCAGTTTAAGCGTGGACGTTTAGTTCGGCTTATTGAAGTCAGGCTTTTGACTTTAATCCCCGCTTTTCTAAACCACTTTTATGAAATACCCCCCTGAGTGTGTTTTGCTATGGGGGTGTTCTGTTCCTCAGGGTGGAGATTCTGCTTCGTAAACATTAAAACAGTCTTTAGCAGTTAAACGAGAACAATCAATACTTACACCAGAGTAAAACAGATTCATTGATCTGAAATGAGCAGTTATGAATGCAGCTGTTTATCATCCATCCTCAGATCTCGTCAGCATGCACACACTGATCAGGGGCCTTTCTGCTCTGCATTTACACGCAGTGACCAGCAGGTGTCAGCAGCGCATGCGCTTTCACACGATTCCAAACAATTCAGATAGCAAAGCGTTTGCTTCAGCTCATTCAGATATTCAGAAAACTTAGTTTCTTACATCGTCTGATTATTCACACAAAAGAGATTGTGTTATAAAAAAATGAAGGATTTTCATACTAAATGCATGACATCTATAATAAACTAAACACTAAACATTCAAATGATTATGCTCAAGACCAACTCTTGAATTATCCAGCATCTGACATGAATTTGGTCAGATCAGATTTGTATTAGGTGTTCTGTAGTCTTTGATTCAGATTAAAGTGTAATTTAAAGACTTAACTATAAACTATTAAAGTGGAATAATCAGTCGAGTTATGTAGACAATCAAAAAATACACAGTAAATATTTCTTGGGGTGGCTAATTATACTGACATTAAATAATTAAAACTGCTGATATATAAGAAATACACTATAAGAAATAAAACTCATGACTCCAGAATAATTGTTTTAGGCTGCTTTCACACCTGCACTTTTGTTTGGGAACGTGTCTCGATTGCCCAGTTAGCGCGGTTCGTTTGGCATATGTGAACAGGGCAATCGCGCTCTGTTCTGCGCCAAAGTAATCGCGGGGCATCATGGGATGCTCACTTCAGAATCTCGCGGGGAAGTAGTAGGTCATCTGGGTACTTCTTGCATACTGATTTTCAAATGATAAGAATTCAAATACATATCATTTGAAGTATACAGATTTGGACGCAGCCATGGTCATGTGACCAAAGCAATTTAAAGCATCGATCAGTTCAAAGCGCTTCGAGAGCCGGTGAATCTGCATTTGACTGACAGGTTCAGAAATACTTCTGACTCATTTAGCCTAGTGGACGTGAGTGTGCGCGTTGTTATGCTTTAACATTATTAAAATACATAAAATCAGGATTTCAGAGCCATTTACTGTTTTATCATCATTTTTGTAACACTAAAACAATAATGAATATTTTACAGTACTGTGATGGTTGGGTTTAGGGTTTGGATAGACGTTAATAAAATACAATGGGAAATTTAATGAATAATATAAATAATTCTTGTTAGTTTCCGGCCACAACAGTGTCTGATCTAGCAACAACCCTGCTTTATGACCAAAACAAGACATATTTATTCACAGAGTTTAATAAGGTACGGTATCACAGCTTGGTTCGGCAACTTGTCTGTGCAGCTGAGATCTAAGGTAGTTCGTTTAATTCACACTGCCTACAAAAAATATAGGTGTATCAGAGCTAGGGCTGGGCGATTTTTCAGATTTTTTCGATTAATTTGAATTTATGTCTTGATGACGATTTAATTTTATATTAAATCGAGAAATCGCGATTAAAAAAAAAAAAAGATACATTATAATGGCACCAATGCGCTTTGATTCACTCTTTGTTAAGCAGTTCGCACACCAGAAGCGCCGCTCGGCGACGTGCAGTGCCATGGATTTTAGAATTCTAAACAGGATTCTATACACACACCGGCGCCGCCCAGCCACGATTCAGGACGCTGTTCATATTTCAGTCGCGCCACAGAGCGCCATCTGATTAGTTTCATGTTAAATATCATGTTAATGTGCGCGTCTGGTGTGTGATAGTTTAAACTGTCATGTGCGAACCGTGTCGCGGCGCTTCTGGTGTGCGACCTGCTTGACTGCCTGTAAAAGGCATGAAGTCATGTAGGATTTTGCTTGTTGCATTAGTCTGAGTCACGTCTGTGTGGATTATCAATACATATTCCCTCATCAAGTCGATAAACTCAATCTCTCAACATGTGAGGACATAAAAACATGACATGTGAAGAACTGCGCTGATCTTAGTTTGGTTTGAACATGAGCAGCTGTAGCAGTGAAAATGAAAGTACCCGCGTCCATGACGTCATTTAGCGGACCTAGTTGAAACCCAGACATGCAGGCAGGCAGCATAATACAGAGAGAGCTGTAAAGTGCATCAAATGATCGATATTCAAAAGGGGAAAAAGAAAAATAGATTAAATATATGATTTTATATTAGACACACATCTGGTGCTTGTATTTGCTCCTGCTATACGTCCACAGCTTCACACATTGGGTTAAATTAGGCTTTACAGTTTAAATCACAGTTTACAGTTTACAGTTTCCATGTTCAGTGCTTTTCTTCCACTGTATCTGTTTAAGAAAAAGGCAGCAGCTTTACAACCTGACATTCAATCAGAAGACAAAGTCAAAGCCGAGCTGACAGACAATCTGTCCTATAGGCTCAGCAAAACTTGCAAAATTCCCTCTGTATTCCTGCAACTGCAATATTTACACAAATATTTCTTATTCAAATCTTCCGCACCGATATTTAACTTGTGAATTTGTTTTACCTTTATTTACACCTCGACCGATTTATGTATGACATGGCCATTAAAATACAATGTTCCTTAACCAGATGGTTTTTCAAGTTACTTATAAAGAGAATGTTACTTCAGTCATGTTGTAGTAATGTCTTTAGTTGACTAGTTACACATTAAAAAAAACAAAACAAAACCGTGAATCGCTCAAACTTTCTAAAAAATCTAGATTTATTTATTTGCCATATCGCCCAGCCCTAATCAGAGCTGATGTTACTGCAGGATATGTAAGAACAGGACGCATTAAGGTGTGCTAAACAAATAGTTTGTGACGTATCGCATGTTCTGCACAAGGAATACGAGTTGTTACCCTCGGGGAAAAGATTCAGAGTACCTTGCTGTAGATTAAACAGATAAAAAAAAAAATTTTTATCCTACGAGCATTAAGCTATTAAATAATAGTGGTGGCTTAGATTGACAGAAACAGTTTGCTTATTTATGTGTATGTGGAGTGAGGCTTGTAACTTTTATTGAAATACTTATTTGTGTTTTGTATGTTAATTGTTTTGTCCATGTTTGTGACGACTGCAGCTGAGGGCAAGAGCCCAAGACAAATTTCCCTAACTGGGACAATAAAGTTTTTACCTTACCACCACACCAGAAGTGTGTTATCCTACAATACACAGTGACTTGCTAAACAAATGAACATGGAAGATCATTTTGAGCTTACGTGATTTAATTATCTTGTTTGTGAAGACTGCAGAGTGATGCAAGAGGAAAAATGTCTAAAAAGTTAAAAGTAACTAAAAAGTCTAACATGGAGAAACAGGAAGAAGAGCTCAGCTGTGGATGTGCTCCAACAGCTCTCATCAGGTGTGTTTAATATGAAGCAGGACAATGTGATGTGCAGCATAGAATAATTAGTGGTGGGCAAAGCGAAGCTTCATAAAACACTGAAACAATCGAAACAAATGAGTCGAAGCTTCTAAACGTTTCGAAACCCCACTCTATGGTGACACCTAGTGGTCATTTTTTAATGTTTTGCACTGAAACAGCTTCAGCAAGAAGATTTTAGCAAATTGAGGTATTAAACACTTTGTAGAAGTATATATTCAAGAGATTTAGTGGAGCGGTTAAGGTTTCTGACTTCCATGCGGGGATAGTGGGTTCGAATCCAGGCTGATACGGCTGTTTTGATACAGGTGCTTTAATACCAGTTGCTAATGCTTTGCTCTTGTAACTTTTGTTTCAGCATTGTTCTGATATCAGAATAAACACTTTGTGAATAAATATGTCTTGTTTTGGTATTAAAACAGGGTTGTTGCTAGATCAGACACAGTTGTGGCCAGAAGTTATCAAGAATTATTTATATTATTCATTAAATTTCCCATTTATTGTATTTTATTAACGTCTACCCAATCCCTAAACCCAACCATCAGTACTGTAAAAATATTCATTATTGTTTTAGTGTTACAAAAATTATGCTATATTGATGGTGTAGCTGCAGCTGTAGTCTATTTAGGCTACATCATAAAACAGAAACATTATTAAAATACGTGAAACCATGATTTAGGAGTATTTGTACAAGTCTGGATTTGAACCCAAAAATTCAATGGAAATATAGTAATGGAAGCGTGCACACGAGTGTTGGATGTGACCCCGGCAGTTACATGGAGATTCACCAGGTCTTGAAACGCTTCTTAACAGATGCTTTGAATCACTTTAGTCACGTGACTTGGGTGTTTCGGATCATGCTTCGGTGCAGTGTTTCGAAACACTTGCGCTTCGGGATCTCGAAACTGTGTCGAAACGTCAGTTTCACGTCAGCCATCCCTAAAAATAATGAAATGTACAAAATACCATCCTGAAAGAAGAGGATCTGAATTTAATTTGAATTAAGGTGAAGATTGATGGGATGGTACAAATTCATTCAGTAAAACTGTATTTACCGATGACTTGTTCAGATGTAAGAACACAGGCGTGTTAGACAGTGTGCCGCAGAGAGCGGAGAGGCTCTGATTCACTGCTCTAACTCTAGCACATCATCATTTTGGCTGAGCTGGAATATTCAGCATTCAATTAATCTATGAACCAACACTGATAGTCCAGTCACTTGCCATTGTTGTGAATACTGAATAAATGTTGATAATTCACCCATTTCTTAACATTGGTATTTTAGTCATTTACTATTGTTGAAAATACTGACACTGAATTAACATGGATCATTTACCCATTTCCTAACATTGAGAAAACAGTGAATCAGTGCTGGCAATTCAGTCATTTGCCTTGGTAGAAAATACTGATATTAAATAAATGCTGATCATTTGGCCATTTCAAAACACTGAAAAAACTTACATTATATTAACGCTGATAATTCAGTCATCTGTCTTTGCTGAAATTACTCGCATTAAACTAAATTATACTAGTTTATTTATTCCCCAGTATTGTAAATACTCACACTTGATGATTTTCTCCTTTTTAAAACTTCAAATGCAATTGCTTTTATGTATGCATGAGTAACCCACTCGCTGTCTCTGCGAGCTGGCTGCGGCCTCTAGCACCACCGCTGCTGCTACTCTGCGTTGTGTTGTGGTAAACAGGAGATGCAGACAGAGAGGTTCTCCATCAGGACTCCACCATTTATTCGACAGAAGGGCACCTATCAGTGTTGACAACACAAACTCAGTTAAATCTCAATACAATATCTCCAAAACATTCATTATTATAAACTACTGCTACTTATATTGCAACACAATGGCTTTGCATGAGCCGTACATTCCCTTAATCACTTTATAACAGAAATAAAACAACCTTTTAGCTTTTTATATAACTCTGCATTTGCTCTTTAACAGTTTAGTACACTGAATATCTCAGTAAACAGAACTTTTGAGCATTAACAACACAGATGTATTTTAGATAAGGATCCTACTATCATGAGCACGTCTCACCTGTCAGTGTTGAGAACACAAACTGAGGAAAACATGGCGCACTACGCGTTTATCAGCACTACGGTATGCCAAGAGGCTCAAACACCACAACAAACATCAAAATACCCAGACAAAACAGTGTCATAGCGACATCTTGTGGACAAAACAAACACTGCTCTACTCATGCATATTAATGTTACATCAAATCTGAGCACAAATCAAGCTGTTTTTTTTTATTGCAATAACAACACCTTACAACAAATACAGATACAAAACTGAAAGAAGTATGGTACAATCAATAGAAATGTTACTTTTTGAAAAAAGTGGAATGAAACAAATTTAGAACAAATATTATATATGTAAACAAATTAAAGGGAACAAGAGAGAAGAAGAAGAAAAATAATTAAGTGCACATGACAAATATACAACAAATTATTGCAGAATATCAAATAAAGCACATATTTTAGAAGTTTTAATAGCTTTCTTATTATGAGAGTCTGTGATGTTTTTTAAATAAAGACCTAGTTCTCGTTTAAAATATAAACATCAGGCTTACAATGAGTATATTTGCATTTGTGTATAAAAAACTTTCCAATAAATAAAATGAGGTTTATGCAAAAAGTTGCACTGAGGAATTCTTCTCCTTTAATATAAAGCCCCAAAATAACATGTCAATAGCTTAAAGAAAAATCACCACAAACCTGTTGGACGATTAGAGAGTTTACATCAGACCAAAAGGATTTAACAGTGGGACACTCCCAAAACAAGCGAGCAACAGATTCAGAAGAGGCTTCACAGAAAGAGCAAGAGATGTCAATGTCATCTCTGAATTTCTGTAAAAACTGTTCAACGGGATAAAACCTGTGAATAATTTTAAAAGATATTTCTTTAATTTTATTTGTTAAAAACATTTCTGGGGGAGCGACCAGACATACGACCATTTAATCTCAGGAACTAGAATAAAGGATTATAGATGGTCTAAAAATAAAGATCTGATTTTATGATTGGATTTTTTAGTGGAGAAACAAATAGAACCAACAACAGTAGAATCAGGAGAACAAGCAGAAATCAAGGAATTATTATTAATATTTCTAAAAAGCATACAGATTTCAGAGGAGATGGCCTTACAAACGATATTAAATTCTTTTTTAGATTTGGCAAGACTATATCTTGCAGTAAAAACAGAGTAAGTAAATAAATTACCATTAATAACTGCTTTACCAATATCACACCGTTACCGAACCAATTATTAAAGAATATAGATTTCCTCTTATATAAAATATTACAATTGTTCCAAATTTAAAAATTGTGTGGCGAGAAATTGTGCTTATAAATAAGTTTCCAAGCCTGAAGCATTTGCTGATGAAAATTGGACAGTTTGATAGGAAGCTTGTTAATTGAGAAATTACACATTAATAAAAAGTCAGTGGAGAAACAAATAGATCCTAATTGAGACAAAATATAATTAGGAATTACATTACAAATTGAAGACTGATTGTGGAGAAAGCGTTTAAGCCAATTTATTTATAAGCTGTTATTAAGTGAATCAAAATCTATGAAGTTTAAGCCGCCCGTATTATAGGAATTTAAAATAACTGCTTTTCTAACATGTAAACAGCATTACATCAATCAATTTACAGGTCGGTTTATCTACAAATAAAGAATGAGCCGCATAGGATAACCTAGCTTTTGTAAGTAAAGTCCTACCTTTTAAAGCTGTTTATTGTCTTGTATTGCCTTTCTAATGCACAGCCCTGGCTCGAGAAGAAGGGGCTCACAGACCGGTCTGTGTGAGTGTGTGCGCACGCGCGCGCGCGGCCAGCACAGTATCGCGAGAGCTGTTCAAACAGACGCACTACCGGCAGATTTGAGTTCGCTCTCGCGCTACTTTGAGCCTTACACCGAATATTCAAACCTTCACGCGCGGGATTTGAAGTAAACCGGTTAAGATGACTGAATAATTAGCCATGGAACTTCCGAGAGAAGACAGTGGAAACCTGAGGAATTTCAAGTTGGACCTTCAGTGTTTGTAATGGAGTCATACACGGTATGTGTGTTTTATTTTAAAGGATATTTGTAAGTGTTTACACTGTGTTTCATATGCGTTTTCTGCCTCAAATACAGCGTATAGCTTACAGCACACAGGTAAATGTTTGTTGTAGTCGAGTTGAACTGTCCTGGATATCATTATGAACATACATCTCGTCAACTCGCAGATTCAGCCAAGTTCACTTCTCTAATGACCTGCTCTAATGGCTGCTGATATGGAGATATAGAGGTGAGCTGTTCCTCCACAGTCCTAAAATTCCTCAAAATAACATTGAGCTAAAGTTGGTTTTATACTCACACATTCATTCAGTGACAGCTTGTGACACACTCCCTATATTGTTCACCACTTAATATTGAAAATGAATATTGTGTCTCTGCAAGTGTGACTTGAAGACAAATAGAGGTAAAGTTGGATTTATATCCGCACATTTGGACTTCCCCCTTAATAATATAACTTCATGAAAGTATTATTCACAAACTGTAAATAGTGAAGTCATATTAGCAGCCAATGACTATCAAAGTACAACATTGTTCAGTCAAATAAACAGTGTTAATGTTGTTTTCAAGTCACTTGCATGCTAATTCCAATTGAATATTCAAAGTAACATGGTAATCAATATAGAGACTTCTAAATGAGCGAATGTGCCAATATAAAACCAACTTTACCTCTATTAAAGACAACATTTACTCTGTATATTTGACTGAACAGTGCTGTACCCTGATCGTCATTCCTGATCATATGATTTCGCTATTTAGAGTTTGTAAAAATACTTTTATGAAATTATATTATTAAGCAGAAAGTCCGAATGTGCCAATATAAAACCAACTTCACCTCTATCAAAATCACCGTCAGTTCAAGTCATTATAGCGGGTAATACTGAAACTATTTAAATATGTGTCTGCTTTCTTCACTATCAGGAGATCGGGAGTGTTATTTTAATGAAAGCTTGATAACAGAGTGAATTACACATGATGTCATACCTAATTAATTATGCTGTGTACATTTAAGAATCACTGATTTTTGCCTAATGTTGACTTACTGGTTCTGTCATTTCGGTTACAAGTACAAGGCACATGTACATTTTCACAGCAATCTAAGTTAAATCCTAAATCTTAGATTTACTCCAGACTGAATGTGAATTTATGTGGGCAAATGAAATGAAATACACCTAGGGTTAAATGTTTACATTTGTGTATTATACACAGCATGTGTGAAGTCTAAATGTGGACTGTTTCAAACTGAACTCGTGTTATTTTTGTTGTCGGTGTGTTGGTGTGAAACTGATGCTGATTGGTCAGTACGGCATTTTTTTTTTTTTACATGAAATGAAATAATGATTCATATTTAGCATTGCATCTATTGTCGTTTACCAGGAGTGTGTTTGCTCTTTCAGAAAATAAAGGAGACGACATTAACCTCCAAGTTTAAGAGGTAAAATCTTCAAGGTTTTTTGTTTGATATTGATTATGATTGTTTAATTATTTATTATGATTATTGATGCCTGTATTTTCACTGAGTGTGTTTACATGGACACCTTTTGAATCAGTTAATTTTGTTAACATGTACTCAAACTAAATAGAGTTACTGTGTTGATGTGGGTGCCTTGCTGTTCTCCATTGTAGTTTAAGCATTAATGTGTTTGAGTGCTCAGAATAAAATAAGAGTCTATGCGGTAGATCCTGTTTTGTTTCCTAGCCGCTGCTGTAAACTGTTAAATAAACAAAGCAGTTATTTATTTCTGCAATATCTGAAAGTTCTTTATTTTGCTGATGTATGTTTAAAGTGATGAGGAAATAACTGGTCCACTGCTGAATCTCTTTCAGCCTCCTGATGATGAGGAAGACGTGTTCAAGGTGGGCATCCAGGCCTTCCCAGAGGATGTCGTGAACATGGCTGGGATACTGGAGGAGGGCACTATGATTTTTGGATCTCAAAGGTTTGCCAAATGCTTTTGCATCATATTTTAAATGTTTTGCTTTGACCACAAACTATTTCAATGACTTAAGATGCACCTTTGATGCAGCTAGTTTTTATCAAGATTTAGTTCACTTGCATTTCAAAGACTTTTTTGATACTTTTTGATACTTTGATGTGATCTTCTTTATCGCTCCTCAACAGAGCGATCCAGGCTCATGTGTTTTAAAAATCGTGATTGCATATTAAAATATTGTAATCCATTAGAGCAGTGGTCACCAAACTTGTTCCTGGAGGGCCGGTGTCATGCAGATTTTAGCTCCAACTCTAATCAAACACAGCTGAACAAGCTAATCAAGGTCTTACTTGGTATACTTGAAACATCCAGGCAGGCGTGTTGAGTCGAGTTGGAGCTAAACCCTGCAGGGACACCGGCCCTCCAGGACTGAGATTGGTGACCCCTGCATTAGAATGTTTGAAGAATGTTCAGAAAGTAAGCTAAAACTGAACAAACCTTTCATTTAGCAAAAAGATATGTGGAACGTTTGGCAAAACACTGTCATTACTCAAAGGGAGTAACAGTAAAATTACACACACTACAAATAATATTTCATTTCCTTAATTAATTTTTCTTTACTCCACATATACAGCTTAGTTTATTTTTGTGTGGGTTATTCATTTTTACTTATTTAAAAAAGTTCAACTTACAATAAAACATTAAAAAACTGCATCCAAGTTCAGCTTTTTCACAAGTTTTCCTCACAAATTAGCTGAACTTGTCTAAATACTGTGGGTAAAGCAAACAAACAAGTTAACTAAGTTTTATAAGTCAAGTCAAAAGATTTTGTTGCGGTGTAAAGTTATAAACTTTAGTTTTCAATGTAGTTTTTCAGCCCAGTGGTCTCTGATTGAAAGGAGGCAACATTCACTGGAGTAAAGTCATACTGTACTTGAAGCAGGACTGAACTGGTGTTGTTTCAGTGTTTAAATATTGTTTTAATTATAGTTGAACAAATGCTGATTTTGTGACCGTTTTAATCTATTTAGCATCATTGCATTAACATTTCAAGATGAAAACGGGCTAAATATCAACTGAATATTTCAACATTAATTGTATGATAGTGTGGTTGATGTTTTAACACTTATGCAGTGTTGGTTTCAGTGTAAAGATTTAATTTTAGTTGAATAAATGCTGATTTTGTGTTTTTCATCTATTTGATCTGTT